GTTAGGCAGGAATGCCATGAAGTAGCCCCCAGACCCATGGATGAATAAACGATAGCCGAACAAAGTGATTTTGAATAATGAACATGGGTCTTCATTATTCTTTTCCTTAAACTGTTTTATCTGCGTCCAGGCAGAATGGATAGAGAGCACACTGAACTAACTTGTTCATCTTTGTTTCCAGAATATTGACCATCAGACTATAAAGCCCCAGCTCCTGCAGTCAAGTGGATATATGACGATTTCAGCCTTCATTCTTAAAGAAAATGGAACTTTCTAGCCCTCACGGCTGTGGAGAAAGCTTCAAAATGAGTCCCTAGTGCACCCTAAAGGCTCAAAAAGCAGAAGGTAACTACAAAGGTTACAAAGCTTCATGATTTTTAGTGAGCCTGACAGGATTATTCAACATTTGGGGTTGGCAATACTGTATGCTCAAGAGCTCAGCTAATTCAGGCTGGATTGCTTCACCCACATTACCCCATATCACCTGGGTGAGCATCCAACTTCCTCTGTTCGATGAAGGAGGTGTTACACCATGGAATTGAACTTGCTGAGCCTTTTACATTTTAACCAATCTGCAGAATTCCCCTGGGAATATAAAAATGGTAGTTAAGTCTGGAATAGCTTTTTGTCACAGATTTGATTTAGAAAGGGTTTCGGTCATTAAAGGATTTACCAAAATGCAATAATTTTACACTATACTTTTTGGGTTATTAAACATATTTCTACAGTGAAGATGATTAGATTTTACTAAATTTAATTATAATCAGTCATACTTCTTATCTATACTATTAAATCTGATGCCTTCAGTTAAATGTTAATAGGAACAAAATGAACTGTTTTTAACATTAGTTCTGTATGTATTGAGTTCTACATAGAATATCAGGGTTGGAATGGACCTCAGGAAGTCATCTAGTCCAACCCCCTGCTTAAAGCAGGACCAACTAAATCCCCAAATGGCCCCCTCAAGGATTGAACTCACAACCCTGGGTTTAGCAGACCAATGCTCAAACTACTGAGCTATCCCTCTCCCCATATAATATATGGAGATATACCTATCTCATAGAGCTGGAAGGCACCCTGAAAGGTCTGAGTTCAGTCCCCTGCCTTCACTAGCAGGACCAAGTACTGATTTTGCCCTAGATTCTTAAGTGGCCCCCTCAAGGATTGAACTCACAACACTGGGTTTAGCAGGCCAAAGCTCAAACCACTGAGCTATCCCTGCCCCCCAAGTTCAAGTATTATCTTTCAATTCAAAGAAAACTAAAAGCTGTAAGCATTTAAAAATTCCTTCTTCTAAGAGGTAGTTTGGAATGATTACTTTGTATATTTTTTTTTAAAATACAACTATACAAAACAAAGGCCTTAATACAGAGTCCTAAAAATTGGTTCCATATACCTAGCGATGCAAATAGGAAAACAAACAAACAAACAAACACCACACAACACTTCGATTGCTATAATTTAGGCTTTATAATACGCAATGTGTAGTATTTCTGTGTGTCCATAGATGACATATCACAGACATTTGTTACAAACAGACAAAAACACAAACAGGTAAAGGGGTGAAGGTTTGAACAGCACCTTGAATTTGCCAGCAGTTGTTGCAGACTCTCTGGACTCTGACGATCGAGAGCGAGGCAGAATCCAGGGCGAGCTTGAAAGGCACTCCAGAGGGCCAGGACTGTGCCGGGAGCATCAGAGGGGGCGACGTGACTTGCACCCTAACCATGGAGGAGGTCCCTGTGCTGAGCCTAAAGGGCCAGAATCCCACAACAGCAAAAAGAGAAGGACCGCAACCCTGATTACAGGGAGGTCCCAAAGGCCCAAGCGATTAAGACCTGAATTCCCCCCATAAGTGAGAGGGACGTGACCTGAGCCCCAATTACAGAATGGTCACTCTGGCTACCCTGCAAGAGCAGCATAATGACAAGACGCTAAGAAGGGTAGAGACCAAAATCCTAAATTACAGGGAGCTCTCGGGGAACCAAGACGGCCCCCTAATCCCACATAAACGAGAAAGAAGTGACCTATACCCTGCTTACAGGGAGGTCACACCGAGCAGCCTGTCAAGGGTTTGTAAACCCAAGAGAAAAAGAGGGGGAAGGATCTGAACCATAGGTACAGGGCGGTCTCGCCGCTCTAGGTCCCCAAAGGGCTCACTAACCCCCTGTAAGCAAGTGATGTGACCTGCCACCTAATTACGGGGCGCCCACTCAATGACAAGGGACTAAAAAGAGCCGGGAGGGCCAGGGACGAGACCCGAACTCTCAAGACGGGGGGGGGGGGGGGAGGGAACAAAACGCAAAACAAGGGGGCTCACGTACCAAAGGGAAAAGAGGTCCTTCAGACCTAAGGTTCTTGGCAGTCCATAATTCCCCCAGAAGGAAGAGGGACATGACCTGAGCCGTAGATGCAGGGAGATCACACGGTCTAGAGGAACTTAAGCAAAGGGCCCAAACGCCTTTTCAGCCTTAAGGCGCGAGACCCAAACCATCAATCGTGCCACTATATGGGTAAACGGGGGCCATAAAAAAAAAAAAGTTCTTTTTCTAATTCTGGGAAGAGCTCATTCAACCAACCAAACCAAAAAAAAACAAAAAAGCTGCAGCGATTTACAAATAAATCAAAATAAAGAAAAGAAAAGAAAAGAAAGACCTTTCACACCCATGCACATCACGTTCGCTCTCCAACACAGACATACCAGATGACACAGCACTTCCCAAAGCAGAAAAAGAGCTAACTGGGAAAGGGTATGGGCACAGGGTATTAAAAAGGGAACAAAAGGTCACCCTGCTCATGCCACAGGTGAGAGGAATGAAACCGGAACCCTACTTACACGGCGGTCAGGCTGACTAGCCAGCCATAATTCTCTATTGCTTAGCTTTCAAAAGGAAACGGACCCGAACCCTGTTACAGGGTGGTCCACGCTGACTATCTGGCCCTAATTCTATATTACCTAGGTTTCAAAGGGGAGAGATGTGGACCTTGGTTATAGGGCTGTCACACCGACTAGCCAGCCATAAGTGTCTATGACCTAAAGTAAAAGGAGGGGAGCGACCTGAACCCTAGTTCCAGGGCGGTCATACCAGTTCGCCAGCCAGAAACATCTATCACCTGGATTAAAGAACGGAAGAGACCTGAACCCTGGTTCCGGTTGGTCCATCCGACTTGTCAGACAACCGGGTGTAAGGGAACAGACCTGGACCCTAGTTCCAGGGAGGTCCATGCCGACTAGCCAGCCACCAGGGTTTAGCACCTAGAGCTCACAAGGGGAGAGACCTCAACCCTACTTACAGGGCGTCACTCAGTCTCAAGGTACTTAAGGGTTCAATATCCTCATTGAATGAAAAATCAAGACCTGAACTCTTCTGAAACGAGCGGTCTTTCTGACTGCCTTGCTGGAGCACCACACAGTGCCAAGAAAGCCGAAAGGGGAAAGACCGAAACCCAAAGTTACAGGCAGGTCACTGGCGTCCAGCCTAGTAAGCAAGCCCTAAACCCCACCAACGACAGGGCCGTGAGCCGGACCCCGATTACAGGGAGGTCACCGAGTAGCATGCCAACGGTTCTTAAATCCACCACAGCAAAAGACGAGACCTGAACTCTACTTACAGGGAGGCTACATTGCCCATAGGGATTAAAGAGCTCGACCTCACTGAGTCACAAGGGTGTCACCTGCACCCTACTTACAGGGAGGTCTCGCTGCTCGAGGTACTACCGGGTTCAGGCTCGCTCTCTCTCTCTTCCCCCACCCCACAAAGAAGAGTGACTTCCACCCTAGTTACAGGACGGTGGTTGTGCCCGGTGCGTATTTTCTCCTCCTCTTCCATCATCTGCATCATCTTTTCTTTCCTCCTTCCCCTTTTCTTCCTCATGTGCTGGAAAGAAAGAGAGGGAGTGTGCATGATAGGTTACGACGGGGGGGGGGGGGGAGCGCGGCGTGTCTTCAAATATAAACAGTGCGCATTAAAGTTGCTACCTTGTCTTCTTGCCTCTACAGGCAGCCTTCGACCTATAGCTAGAAGGGAATTCTGAGCTGTCCCATCATGCACTTTGACGGCACACTCGACGCACAGGCCTCCAACTCTCCCAACATGCCAAAGGCTCAACTGATGCCGTACTGCGGAGCCACGTTTCCAGCTTCCTCGCTGAAGGAACAATAATCCACACCGTGTAGAGTCAAGCACAGGAGTTTATTACGCACAGCGCTGGCAGAGTGTCACTTTGTAATTAATTCTTCTGCAGTGTCTGAGCCTAATAAGGAATAGATTATATAGGGTGCTCATTGGGCAGAGAGAAGCGACAGGGATGGGTTTTCCCAAACTCCTGGATAGGTTCTAGCAGCAAAACAAGATAAGCACAATAAGCCAATGGTCTAAAAGATTACATAATGGTTCCTCCCAAGGCTCAAATTACCTGTGTGTCAGCAATATGTTAATTACCCCCAAACTATGTCTATTAAAGTGTATAGGTTAAATCCTAATTTTGGGGTCCAGGGGAATGAGGTACCAGCTCTCCTGGTTGACCAACAGGTATATTCCTGGAGATTTAAAGCGAAAAAAGGCAGTAATTAGTACTTAACAACAACAACAATTGTTCATAAGTTTACCCTTGCATTTCTGTGGGGTAGGATTGGCATACATCTGTGAGGGGAGGGTGTCCTAACTCATGTCAATTATATTCGGCCTCTCCCTGAACTCTGTCTGGGATCTGAGGAGTATTGTACCACTATCTCCTCCCTGCATGAGGGAGTAACCATGAGGCCTTTCTCAGCGCTTCATGTGTCTATAACTTGCGATAAGGACGCCCAATTACATTCCAAGTTACTTCGGAGTTGCCAGTAAAGTATCAACACCATCAGGAATGTCAGAACGGACACTCTCCACCTAATTTGGTAGAATAGCACCCAGATCCATCCCCAGAGGATCTCTTCACCTGAGATGGCATTGCCCATAATTATTGATTTAACCTCCACTGCCTGATTCCATGCCTCAGAGTCCTTAATACTGACTGGTCCACGGTCTCCCCATCCGAGTGTACCTCAGATGGCTTTCCCCAATGCGTCTTTGGGCCTCGGCCACCAACTCCTCGATCTTCGCCTGCAGGGCCTGTAGACCCTCCTCTAGATACTTACTGCTGTAGTGCCATTCCGGATCCCACGTGAGGTTACTCGTCATTGGCAGAGTACAGTGGAGCCGCATCCTGTCAACAGTCAGGGTTGCCCTTCGGGGGATTGTCATGCACACGGATGGATGTCTTGAGGGGCAGGGCTTTCCATTTAGCTCGGAGTGGTTCTGGGTAGTCACACACCAGTAGGTACTGTTCATCTGGACCAGCTCCGTGTGCACCAGTTTCTCAGTGACAGCCACTTCGAACCTAGACAGATGTGTTAGAACATTATAAGGGCATATACATAGAATTTCCTTATCAGAGTGGGTGCAACATTCACTAGGGTACAATGCTTTCCTGGCGAACTCAGAATATGCATTTTATTTTAGTAACATGACCTCTCCTCCATACTGGCAGAGAGGTCACCATTCTAGCTCGTTGTGAGTGAGGGATTCCCAGAGGCACTAGGAGACTGAAGATTATGCTGTGACCAGTCCAAACCGGTCTTTGGACTCATTGATTCTCTGTTTCCCCATTCCCATGAAGGGGTACTGAGGAGATGGCCATCCAGGAGACCCGTTACAATGCCCTGTGTGGTGATGGCCAATGTTTGCCCTGCTCTTCAACAACTTTCCTCCAATTCCTTTATTTTGGTACCATTTATTAACAGGCTGCTGAATTCTTGACCCAAGTATTTTGATATATCCACTGAGGTGGATAGAGTTTGACAGATCCTTTAAGCTGTCTAGGATTAGTCGACTGGCCCTATTAGTATCCAATCCTCCCTTTTACATGGCACACTACTTGCGTCCTTCATCATGCACCACAGGGGCATCAGGAGCCACAGCAGGAATCTCCTCACGGTCACCCTTCAGTCCTTCTTCCTGTTCACATGGGGAGAGATTGTGAGTATTGACAAGCACTGGTTCAAACAATTTTAACTGATTTTGGTGCCTTTGAAAAGTTTTCATTTTCCCCTAATGCTTAAATGCAGGTTTGTTCAGACTGCTGTTATTATTCAGCTGGGTTTGATTTTCTTTTACTTGGTTGTATAGGTTTTTTTTAATTTTGTTTTATTTTTATTTAATTTATTGTTTAATACAGTTCTGTAACCTGTCTGCGAAGGGCCCAGTAAAATCAATTTGCAGATTCTGCCATGGTCCTTTTGGCTGTGGTTGATGGTTCAGGGGTACTTTCTTCCTTCTACACATATTTTCTTATGCACATGTTACACATCTTTTAAGAAATTGTAAGGCTTTCCCCCCCTCGCCCACCCATGGCTGGCCACCACCATTGCTTCAGGGCAGCTTTTATTTTCCTCCATCCCAGGTGAGCTGGGGAGTGGGTGGCATGGAGCAGCAGAGCCCTTATGCACTCAGGGACTACTAGCTCCTTACCCCTCCCGCCGCCCCGGCCCATGCCAAAGGTGATTTTTATACACACAGCCTTATCCTTCTAACTTGTTTTTTTTTTTTGTTCCTTGCTTGAGGTTTTATGGATGTGCTTCTATTTTGACTACTGCCAGTTCTGATGGTAGTTTGACAGCTTCTGTTAGTTTAACTGCATTTATATTATTAATGGGTTTGCCAGTCTGCATGACCACACACCCATGTAGTTATGCACTACTCCGAATGTGTACCTGCTGTCTGTGTACACTGTGAGTCTTTTGCCCTCCCCCACTCTAAGAGCTTCAGTGAGGGCTGTCAGCTCTGCTTTTTGAGCTGATTTTGAACCATTCAGCTGACCTGACATTATTACTGTTCCATTACTAACTACCACTGCTCATTCTGTATTGGGCACTTCATTTTCATACTTTCTTGACCCATCTACATACAAAAGGATGTCTGGATTCTTTTAATGGCTTTAACTCCTTTTAACACTTCCTCTTTCCTATCTATGAGACATTCGTGTTCCTCTTTATTTATGTTCAGGTATTCAGCTACGTTTTTTCCTTTGTCCCTCACTATGGAGAAGTTGGGATTTTGCAGGCACAGTGTTGACTCTCACGGACTCTTCCGGGTTTCAGCACCAGTTAGTATGGTAGGGTATTGAGGCTTACTGTAGTTATGGTAAAGGTGGAACAGCTTTCCCATTTTGGGTAAGCCCAAGCTGGGGGCGGAGACTAGAGCTTGCTTTACTTTTATGAATGCCTCCTTTTGTTCTGTGCCCCATATTACTGACTCACTTGCAGGTTCTCCCCCATAAAAAGTTTTTGGATCGGTTCTACCATCTGAGTACTCCGGTATGTATGTCCTGCAGTAATTAAGAAGGCCCAGCACTTTCCGGACTTCCTTAAACTGTCCGTGGTCTTTTTAACTCTCGAATTGCCTGCTTGTGAATAAGACTATTTTGATTCTTGCCTCAAAGCTAATTTCTTTTAATATGGTTTTGCACCTGAGGATTGTTTTAAAAAAGACTGGCATTCCTTGACCTTTACCCTTCTGCATCCTTGGTTTTTGTAAATACCGTTAAAATTCTTAATATTTTTTTTTGAAAGACAAAACATGTTTTACTTTTGGGGGGGGGGGCGCGGCGGGTGGCAGATTATTACTTACAATATCCCTTCCTTTAACAAATATTTTTGCTCATTGCAGGCAAAACAGGAATTACCCCCCCATACTTTCTTATGTTTTTATAGGCAGGCCAGGTTTTAATGGCTTTTACCTTTTAAGGGTTTAGGGGAAATTATTTTACTGTTCAGTTATTAAATTCATGAGGTGGTGTACCTCAGTTTCTTTTTTATATAGTAGACCAGGTATGTCTTTGTGCTGCCATTTATGGGCAGTTTTCTCCTTTTTTATTAGTTAGGTAATTTTCATCAACGCGGATGCTTTCCGGCTTGCTTTTGAATTCAAAGCCATTAGCAGCTCAGAGACTCTGTCTTAAAAGGGACACAATCAACTTTCAGAGTTTTGATTACTTTAACTTCTGCTTCCAAAACACACAGGAATTTGAAAAAGAAAACACAACCTATTGTGGCTCCTTTTGGAGTCCTAATAGGATTTTAATTAAGTAACGTGTTTTGTTTGCATTTTTTACCCCTTCTACAATATATACTGCACATGTTCTGGGGAAAATGCACATCTTTCATAATATAATGTTATAAAAGGTAAACTAACTATATTACTTTTTACATAAGGTTTAACTGTTTCTTTTGTGCTTACAGAGTTTTTATGTATCCCTTAATAACATGACAGTCTAATTACACAGAGCCATTTTAAGGCTCTGTTTTTAACAGAGACCCACACCCACACACTTGTGCACCTTACCCCTGCTGTTGCTTTAGAGGGACACCATCTTTTTTAATTTTTTATTTTTCTGCTACAGCTTTTATCTGCGCTTTTATTTTTATTTTTCTGGGTTTGATTGCCCTGCTGCAGCCATGACTTTGGTTTTTATAAAAATATTGAACGTTATGAAGTATTGAGGTACCTTAAGGGTTAAATGCGAAATACCAAAGCCAAACAACACTAGTGATCTGTATCTGGCAAAAGTGTTTAGTTTTGCAACTTTGAATGAAAGATTTAAATGGATTTAGTGGTATTATTTTAAAACAAAAACCCAATTTATTTTAAACTTACAAAACAGAGGTTTCCAAACCAGGAGTGTTGATTTAGGTTTAAGACTTTATATATTTACTTAATATATAAATTTTACAAAGCTGTTCATAGATTACATTTGGGGGTAGTTAAGTTTCAATAGAAACCTCTTACATTTTTTTTAGCAAATTTGTCTAAATTGTCCAAAGTCAATTTCAATCAGATTGTCTCTTTGCCTGGATTATTTACAGACATTTCTTTGGAAAAGGGCCCATTTTCCTTCAGAATGGCTGCAAAGAAGCCAAGAACACTTTTTTGTAACATTTTTACAACGTTTAACTGCTTAATTCCCTTCAGCCACTGCAGAGTTTAAAAAAAAAAAAAGTGAAAAGTTGTTTTAAATCACTTGCTTATCTCCCAAAATGACACCTTCATTAAGTCAGATTTCACCATTCCAAGTATTGTTCCAGGAGTCTGAATTCCCCATTCCTGTACTTTGGGATTTTTTGTGTGTGGTTATGTTGAGTATATCCAATATAACTATTACTGCTTTGTCACTCCACCATTTAACGAATTCTCTCTCTGGTCCGGCTGCAACAGAGTTTGCTTTTTTAACTGCTGCTTGCCGAGTTTTGACATGTTTATACTCCAAATATTCCCGATAGCTGACTCTCTTCTCCCCCTTTGATGCCAGGTGTTTTAATCACCCTGGCTGCTGACCTTGTTGGGAAATGTACGTCTTCGCCTTGACACCATAGTCTCAATCTCCACGGCTGTTTAGCCTTGATGGGGATGTGCATTTCCCCCTTTAAATTCTGTGGTCTCAATCTCCACACTGACAGCTTTGATGGGGGGTGTATATCTTAAGTTACACACAATTGCCTGCCTTATTGGAGACTTGTGCTATTCAAAGGCGTGTACGTCACATGCCGGGGGGGGGGGGGGGGAGGAGAAGGGCGCTCCCCGGGCTTGCAATGAGGAAATGGGACCACCAATTTGCACTGCCTACCGCTTGCGTGCCCAGCCAGTCCTGGGCTTAACTCACGGCCAATCGCTTGCTGGTGGTTTGTCCAAGTCCTCTGTAACACACCCCTTAAACAGTACATAACCCTCTTGCACACGTCTCCCCTCCCAATTGTACCCCCCCCTTTTTTTTTTAAACCCTCTGCTTGTACTACACGTGTCCAGGTTCCTTTGCACTTAAATTTAAAAAGTGGGAACAAGATGGGTCTGAGAGGGGATGAGAGACCTCTATCCCTAGCCTAATGAGGTGGTAAATTAAACATACTCACCTCTCTTGGATCTCAGTCTCAGTTCCTCAATCAGTTCACAAGCTTGTATCCCGGACGAGCACCCATCTGAAGGAACAATAATCCACACCATGTAGAGTCAAGCACAGGAGTTAATTACGCACAGCACCATAGGCGCCAACTTTCTCTGGCGCCAGTGAGTGCCTGTGCCCCCCCGTCCCTTTCCTCGCCCCTACCCCCACCCCAACTCCACCCCATCCCTGCCCCCATTCCATCCCCAAAGTCCCCACCCTAACTCTGCCCCCTCCCTGCCCCTATTGGATCCCTTCCCCAAATCCCTGCCCCGGCCCCGCCTCTTGCCCCAGTGCGCCACGTTCTCCCTCCTCCCTCCCTGCCCTGCGAATCAGCTGTTTCACGGCACAAGTGCTGGGAGGGAGGGAGAAGGTGAGCTGGAGCAGGGGGGCAGGGTGAGGCCACGGGGAGCTGCCTGTGGGTGCTCAGCACCCACCAATTATTTTCCGTGGGTGCTCCAGCCCGAGAGAAAAACAGGGGAATGATCTGAACTGTAGTTACAGGGCGGTCTCGCTGCTCTAGGTACCACTGCCTCCAGATCCCCACGGATGTGACCTGCACCTGTCTTACAGGATGGTCACTCTGACTCAGAAGCCAAAGGAGAAGAGTCACGTGAAAGCAAAAAGGAAACACCTCTGAACTCTAATTGCAGGCAGGTCTCGCTGCTCTAGGTCCCCAAAGGGCTCACTAACCCCCTGTAAGCAAGTCATGTGACCTGCCACCTAATTGCAGGGCAGCCACTCAAGGCCAAGGGACCAAGAAGAGCCAGGAGGGCCAGGGACGAGACCCAAACTCTCGAGACAGGGGGTGGGAATGGGAGGGGGGGGGGGGGGGGGAAAAAAAAAAAAAAAGAAAAACCAAACAAAGTGGCTCATGTACCAAAAGGAAAAGAGGTCCCTCAGACCTAAGGTTCTTGGCAGTCCATCATTGCCCCAGAAGGGAGAGGGACGTGACCTGAGCCATAGATGCAGGGAGAACACATGGTCTAGAGGAACTTAAGCAAGGGGCCCAAACACCTTTTCAGCCTTAAGGCACGAGACCCAAACCATCAATCGTGCCACTATATGGATAAATAGGAGCCATAAAAACAAACAAAAGTTCTTTTTCTAGGTCTGGGAAGAGCTCATTCAACCAAACAAACCAAATCAAATCAAAAAAACAAAAAAGCTGCAGCGATTCACGAAGAAAGACAGACAGACCTTCCACATCACGTTTGCTCTCCAACACAGCCATACCACATGACACAGCACTTCCCAAAGCAGAAAAAGAGCTAACCGCGAAAGGCTATGGGCACAGGGTATTAAAAAGGCAACAAAAGGTCACCCTGCTCATGCCACAGGTGAGAGGAATGAGACCAGAACCCTACTTACAGGGCAGTCAGGCCGACTAGCTGGCCATAATTCTATATTACCTAGGTTTCAAAGGGGAGAGATGTGAACCCTAGTTCTAGGGCTGTCACACCAACTAGCCAGCCATAAGTGTCTATGACCTAAAGTAAAAGGAGGGGAGTGACCTGAACCCTAGTTCCAGGGAGGTCCATGCCGACTAGCCAGCCACCAGGGTTTAGCACCTAGAGCTCACAAGGGGAAGAGACCTCAACCCTACTTACAGGGCGGTCACTCGGTCTCAAGGTACTTAAGGGTTCAATATCCTCGTTGAATGAAAAAAATCAAGACCTGAACTCTTCTGAAACGAGCGGTCTTTCTGACTGCCTTGCTGGAGCACCACGATGCCAAGAAAGCCGAAAGGGGAAAGACCGAAACCCAAAGTTACAGGCAGGTCACTGGCATCCAGCCTAGTAAGCAAGCCCTAAACCCCACCAATGACAGGGCCGTGAGCCGGACCCCGATTACAGGGAGGTCACCGAGTAGCATGCCAACGGTTCTTAAACACACCACAGCAAAAGGCGAGACTTGAACTCTACTTACAGGGAGGCTACACTGCCCACAAGGATTAAAGAGCTCGACCTCCTCACTGAGTCACAGGGGTGTCACCTGCACCCTACTTACAGGGTGGTCACTCTCTCCAGATGGTTAATGGAGCCAAGGGGGAAGAGACCTGCACCCTACTTACAGGGAGGTCTCGCTGCTCGAGGTACTCTCTCTCTCTCTCTCTCTCTCTCCCCCCTACCCCCACAAAGAAGAGTGACTCCCCCACCCCCCCAGTTACAGGGCGGTCCTTGTGCCCGATGCATATTTTCTCCTCCTCTTCCATCTTCTGTTTCCTCCTTCCCATTTTCTTCCTCACATGCTGGAAACAAAGAGAGGGAGTGTGCAAGACAGGATTAAGAGAATCCTTAGTTCTTCAAATATAAACAGTGCGCATTAAAGTTGCTACCTTGTCTTCTTGCCTCTACAGGCAGCCTTCGACCTATAGCTGGAAGGGAATTCTGAGCGGTCCCCATCATGCGCTTTGACGGCACACTCAACACCCAGGCCTCCAAGTCTCCCAAAGTGCCAAAAGCTCAACTAATGCCTTTCTGTGGAGCCAGGTTTCCAGCTTCCTTGCTATAAAATAAATCAGCAGCACGTTATGCCTGGAGGGCAGTGAGAAATGCACTTTAATAGCAAGAGTCACAGACACAAGGTGCACTGTACTGACTGGTTCAACAACAACAACAAAAAACCAAACAAACAGGTAAAGGGGTGAAGGTTTGAACGGAACCTTGAATTGGCCAGCAGTTGTTGCAGACTCTCTGGACTCAGACGATCAGAAGCGAGGCAGAACCCAGGAGGCGTCGCTGCAGAACCTAGGGCGAGTTTGAAAGGCACTCCAGAGGGCCAGCACTGTGCCGGGAGCATCAGAGGGGCCGACGTGACTTGCACCCTAACCATGGAGGAGGTCCCTGTGCTGAGCCTAAAGGGCCAGAACCCCACAACAGCAAAAAGAGTAGGACTGCAACCCTGATTACAGGAGGTCCCAAACGCCCAAGCGATTAAGACCTGAATTCCCCCCATAAGCGAGAGGGACGTGACCTGAGCCCCAATTACAGAATGGTCACTCTGGCTAGCCTGCAAGAGCAGCATAATGACAAGATGCTAAGAAGGGTTTTGGTCTCTACCCTAAGTTACAGGGAGCTCTTGGGGGACCAAGACGGCCCCCTAATCCCACATAAATGAGAAAGAAGTGACCTGTGCCCTGCTTACAGGGAGGTCACACCAAGCAGCCTGGCAAGGGTTCATAAGCCCGAGAGAACTAGAGGGGAACGATCTGTACTGTAGTTACAGGGCGGTCTTGCTGCTCTAGGTACCACCCTCTCCAGATCCCCACTGACGTGACCTGCACCCTTCTTACATGACAGTCACTCTAATCAGAAGAGAAAGGAGAAGAGTAACGTGAAAGCAAAAAGGAGACACCTCTGAACTCTAATTGCAGGCAGGTCTCGCCGCTCTAGGTCCCCAAAGGGCTCATTAACCCCCCGTAAGCGAGTGATGTGACCTGCCACCTAATTACGGGGCACCCACTCAAGGACAAGGGACTAAAAAGAGCCTGGAGGGCCAGGGACGAGACCTGAACTCTCGAGACAGGGGGAAATCGCTAAACAAGGTGGCTCACGTACCAAAGGGAAAAGAGGTCCCTCAGACCTAAGGTTCTTGGCAGTCCATCAGTCCCCCAGAAGGAAGAGGGACATGACCTGAGCCGTAGATGCAGGGAGATCACACGGTCTAGAGGAACTTAAGCAAGGGGCCCAAACACCTTTTCAGCCTTAAGGCACGAGACCCAAACCATCAATCGTGCCACTATATGGGTAAATGGGGTCCATAAAAAACAAACGAGTTCTTTTTCTAGTTCTGGGAAGGGCTCATTCAACCAAACCAAAAAACAAAAAAGCTGCAGCGATTTACAAATAAATAAATAAAGACCTTCCACACCCATGCACATCACGTTTGCTCTCCAACACAGACATACCACATGACACAGCACTTCCCAAAGCAGAAAAAGAGCTAACCGCGAAATGTTATGGGCACAGTGTATTAAATAGGCAACAAAAAGGTCACCCTGCTTATGCCACAGGTAAGAGGAATGAGACCTGAACCCTACTTACAGGCCATAATTCTATATTGTTTGGCTTTCAAAAGGAAACGGACCTGAACCCTGGTTACAGGGTGGTCCACGCCGACTATCTGGCCATAATTCTATATTACCTAGGTTTCAAAGGGGAGAGATGTGAACCCTAGTTATAGGGCTGTCACACCGACTAGCCAGCCATAAGTGTCTATGACCTAAAGTAAAAGGAGGGGAGCGACCTGAACCCTAGTTCCAGGTGGGCCATCCGACTGGTCAGACAGCCGGGTGTAAGGGAACGGACCTGGACCCTAGTTCCAGGGAGGTCCATGCCAACTAGCCAGCCACCAGGGTTTAGCACCTAGAGCTCACAAGGGGAAGAGACCTCAACCCTACTTACAGGGCGGTCACTCGGTCTCAAGGTACTTAAGGGTTCAATAGCCTCGTTGAATGAAAAAAATCAAGACCTGAACTCTTCTGAAACGAGCGGTCTTTCTGACTGCCTTGCTGGAGCACCACACAGTGCCAAGAAAGCCAAAAGGGGAAAGACCGAAACCCAAAGTTACAGGCAGGTCACTGGCATCCAACCTAGTAAGCAAGCCCTAAACCCCACCAACGACAGGGATGTGAGCCGGAGCCTGATTACAGGGAAGTCACCGAGTAGCATGCCAACGGTTCTTAAACCCACCACAGCAAAAGGTGAGACCTGAACTCTACTTATAGGGAGGCTGCATTGCCCATCGGGATTAAAGAGCTCAGCCTCCTCACTGAGTCACAGGGGTGTCACCTGCACCCTTCTTACAGGGTGGGTCAGTCGCTCCAGACAGCTAACGGAGCCAAGGGGGAAGAGACCTGCACCCTACTTACAGGGAGACTCGCTGCTGGAGGGACTGCCGGGGTCAGGCTCCCTCGCTCTCCCCCCACCCCGCGGAGTCACTTCCCCCCTAGGGACAGGGAGGCCGTTAGTGGTGCTGCATGGGAAGGGCTCGAGCCCCATCCCGGAGATCGGGAGTCTCTGTCCTGCTGCTCCGGGTGTTTCTGAAGGTTCAGAAGTAGCAAGTCCGTCCCGCTGGGGCGGGGCAGGTGCCTCGGCGCTGCCGCCCTGCGTGTGGATGCGGATGCGGATTCCGAGGGCGGGGCGGGCTCGAGCCCCGCTCTCCGGAAAGCTCGGTCGGGGAGGTGCTACCCCCGGTAGCTGCTGGTTCGCCGCTGTCCCCACTCGCTGCGGCGAGGCCAATTTCTGCCGGCCCTGCGGACCGCCCACAACCGCGCCCAGATTTCCAGCCAATCACAAAGCCTCTGTCCCGCCCTGTCAGGTTTTCTCCTCCCCGCCCCTCGTCCTCTCACGATAGCTCGCCCGCTTCCCGCCCGGTCCGCGGACCTGCTCTTCTTCCCCCGCATATCGCCCTAGCTTCCCCTTTCTCAACTGCCCCCACCCAGCGGTGACGGAAGCGGGGGGTCAGGCCCCCCCACTTTTAAAAGGGGGAGAGTCATGCTCCCCACTGTCTAATATGGGTCTAGTTTGGGGGAGCAGGGAGCAGCAGTGACCCCTCCACCTGCAAGCCTTTGCAGCGGGTATCAGCTGCCTGAGGTTTGCAGTTTGAGGGGAGTAAGCTACACGCATATTAAAAAGTGGGGGGCATGGCTCGCTGCCCCTCCCCCATCTACAAAGGCTACAGCCCCCTTGCCCCCACCCCCACTGGAGGCAGCGTCAACAGTTACTAAGAGTGCTGTAGGGTCCGGGTGCCTGGCCAACAGCCTCCTGCTTCTCAGGGGTACGGGGAGCCCCCACTGAGGTGCTTTCAGCTGCACCCCTAGTGTAGCCTCCACCTCCTCCCAGGCAGCTGAGCCCATGGTGAAATGTGGGGCTGGCTTGGCACAGGCAGCCCGTGAAAGGGTGAGGCAACAGCACAAGAGAGCCCTAGCTTTGGGCAGACAGTGCCCTCACCCTCCCCTCCCACGGTATAAGGGAGAGACAGGCCCACCTCTGCTGGCTCCTCTCCCCCCACAATGCTAGGTCATGCCACAACCCAAATTCTAAAATTTGCCATAGTGCATATGTAATAGACGGTACATGCACAGCGCTGATTTTAAGGTGTAATTGTAGCTGGTGCAGACGTACCCACCCAGCTTTTATTTACGCGGCACAGGTAACAATTGCAGAGAAGATTTAGCATCAGGGGTTCCAGTGCAGGTTAGCAACCTCAGTACCTAGCCAGGGGCCTCAGTGCGCTTGTACTGGGGCAGCCAGTCCGTACCACCAGGTCTACACTCCATTGTTGCCTGCGCTCGCTGGATTAAAGCTAGTGCAAGTATATCTACCCCTGCCACAATTGCACTTTAATTTGTGGTGCAGATGTACCCTTAGCCAGGGTTCATGGGTATGTCATCCTATATATATTGTGTGAGCCAGCTCCGGCATTTAGAAAACTTTGAGGTTTCCCTTTTAATGTTTGTTTTACTCCTGGTTTTAATGTCGCTAAAGGCAGTGTATTAGATTTCTTTTTGCATGATCTAATGTATAAAGAGAGCAGCTGTGGTTTCTTCATTTTGCTGGCCACTGAAGGTACGTCAGTACTAGAGCTGGAACGTGTAAATTCCAGCTCGAGACATACCTGCGCTAGCTCTGATTAAGACAGAATGCTGAAAATAGAAGAGCAGCCATGGTGGTGTGAGGGGCTGGTTGCCCTGAATATGTACTTTTGGTCTCTGACTGGATCATACTTGGAGTGGCTAGTCCTGCTATGGCTACATTTCTCTTTTTAGTGCACTAGCTAGATCAGAGCTAGTCGGGTATGTCTCCTCTATCTGGAAGTTACACCTTCCAACTCTAGTGTAGACAGACCCTGAGTAAGGCCTTGTTTACACTAGGACAGTGGTTCCCAAACTTGTTCCACTGCTTGGCCTGGAGCAGCGAACCGCGGCCACTGGGAGCCGTGATCGGCCGAACCTGCGGACGCAGCAGGTACACAAACTGGCCCGGCCTGCCAGGGGCTTTCCCTGCACAAGTGGCAGAACAAGTTTGGGAACCACTGCACTAGAAGGGTTTTGCCCGTGTACTGATACTAGTATAGCTGAAGGGTTAAAATCCATGTGCATTTTATATAACAATCTGGTATATGGATTGTGTCAGCTCTTTTTCAGACCCAAAGTCCAGAGTTTGGTCAAGAGATCAGAGGCCTAGCTAATAGTGATCAGCTAAGAGAAAGCTGGGGTAAACAAGATAACATTGCCTTTGCTAAAAT